CATACATTACTCGAGAGGTCACATAGCATATCACTTGAAGATAATTTACAACATATTTGTCGAAGACAGGATTGAAATATTACAATCATATTCAACTGGTATTTCATTCGGTATGGTATTTGTTCCCTGGGTCGAACAAATTATTGTTTGTCGTGAATGGAACTTATCAAGAAACAGTCTTTGAATAATTCTTTCATATAGATACTACCTACCATTACCGACGATCAAAACACAATAAATGTGGTATATATACCCCTTCAGTTCTTTTCGGCTACTTCTGACATACTCAATAAGTTGAGCAAAGCTTCCCGCTGCCTGTTAAATCAACATGTTTTTGGGTTCTTATGCAAAAAAAGGCATCAAAATGATATATTTGAGGCGTAAATAACAGCAAAATGTTTTATAAGTTATATTCTAGATCACTTTATGATAGCTGCTAGCAGTTTATTCGTTGGTGACTTACGAAGTATATTTTCATACAATTATTATCATTCGGTCAGTCTCAACCTCCATTGGACATGGAAGCAAACTTCCGTTGCAGTAAAATGACTAATACATCACGCGCGTCGTATCAGGAAATGACGCCAAGACGTCATTGTAGTATAAGCCCCTTTGAGAAGAACATTAGCTACGAACATGTATAGCAAAGTAAATAAAAAAAATTGCTGAGATCTAGAGCGGTTTTCATTCTTTTTTTTTTCGTTTTTTATCTGTAGATCTGACATAGTAGCAACCTTGTGTCAAAATTTCATCAAAATCCGACCGGTACTTTCCAAGTTATAAGAGGGCTAACGTTTAGTGGACAAACAGACAGACCGGCGAAAATGAGTGGCATGCCTTTTTGTGATATACAAATACATGTTATAAAACATCCAAAAACACAATATCTTGTTTTCTCGCCTATTGGCATAGGAAGTAAAAGCAAACCTTCGTCTACAAGAAGCCGAAGTAGCATTAGTCTTAGCAAACACGAAGCTTGCTACAAACAGGCCTACAGGCTGGGTACTATTAACATGTTGGAATTTAGTTTACTTACATTTTTCATGCGGTACAACTGGTATACTGGTAACGACATTGCAATGCCACGAGAACAGCCATAAAGCCCGCCATCTGAAAAAATGACAAACAAGCCCGTCTCAGTCTGCAAACAATCACGTAGCGGCCAAACGCTCTGTTGAACCAGGGTGTGCCATGCTTCCAAGTAACACCGAGCAATGTTGGCCAGGTCCTTGTACTTTCAGAAGAGCTGCTTATTTTCCAACAAAACCTCTGTAAGCCTGATACAAAACTATTTTTGAAAGAAGGCGGTCTTGTATTTCATTTCCTTAAGGATGATCTAATGGAGATATATGTATTCTTGGTGAATGCTTCGACAATACAGATGTGCCACGCTGTATATCTCCTAAAAAAAGAATACAAAATACCAGCTGCCAAAAATGTATGGTCCATCAGTCGGTTTGAAGGATATCGCCTAGACCTTTCCTTGGAGGATCCAAATTCAAACTGATCGTACTGAGTATATATGTGTGTTTGCGCTTGCTTCACCCACTTCATATATCTTGCAGGATGTCTTACGGCACCGACATTTTTCTACTGGATTGAAATCTGCTCATATTCAACCCGTTCCAGAAAAAAGCTCGCAGATCAATCCTAAGAACTTCACACCTATCTCTGCTTCTTCTGTATATAAAAAGATGGTAAAGTGCAACGGACAACTTCTGGAATATCTTGAGTTTCACTGCGACAGTCACTACCGTTCTAACATCATTCCGTGAGGTTCACACAAAGCTCACGGTGTGGTTTTGCTCTTCCGTCGAGGTTAACGGGTTCTCTTCTCCATCCTGCGATGTCAACACGATAAATCCTATTCAAAGCTTTGCGAATACTGGCATTCGAGGTCCCAGGCCTATATCTGCGGTGGGTGGCTGAGCTAGAGATACGAAGACTGGTAGCAACTTCCTATATAGTGAAAAACCCGGATATTATTGCCTATGGACGCAATAATTCGGCGTTGCTTAATACTTCTAAGGCACAGTCCTATAGCTTCACAAGAGATGTCCAAGCGCCCCTCCGGTTTTGCTAGTCGAACGTACTTTGCCAGGAATCAGGAAGCTATTCGTTTTTTCTTGGAGTGACGAAACAGGTATCTAGTAAATTCTCAAAGACAACTATGACTGAAGAGTTCGTGTTTAGAAGAAATTTCGAGACAATTTGAACAGTTTGACCTTAGGCATATCGCAACACGATCAACGACCACAACAACGTTGTCAAGTGTCCTTCGTACGGCCTTCCCACAAAGCCGTGCGTGTTCAAACACGGTATTTTTAAAGTGCTGACGACTGCAAGAACAACCATGTATACCGAGGTTCTCTTAACGGTGTTATACGGCACTAGGCAAACAAAAGGATATTTTTAGACGTAATATGGTCTTATGATTACCATGGAGGTATGCGAGACATTCGCGGCCGCCGCAATGAACGGTGTTGTTTTCAGATTCTGTGGAACAAAGTTAGTCATTCGGAGGGAGATCTAGTTACGGTATGCGCGGTATGGGAAAGGTCTTGTGTAGGTCGAGTGACCAAGATATAAAATCGAGGGTTATTTTTTCTTCCGGAACATTCGTCTAAATTCATTTTAGATCAATTTCAACAAAATTGGTCGAATCGAAATCGCTTTCCATTTTCATTCAGCAAAAATGCACGTATACTGAGTTATTGCTTCTTACGTTTGAAAATATAAAATGTCAAACGCTTCAAGCAACATTTGATTGTTGTATTGAATGATTTTAAAGTTGACGCTCACGCTGAAGTAAATTTTCCGCCTGTCTTTAAACTTAGTTGTTGGTCCCAAGGGTCATCTCCAAGGGTGCAACAAATTTCTGATTCAGATTCATCGTGGAAAAATACATATATCATGGCCTACATCAGGGATCACGACCTTTATTTTTTTGTGGGGCTGAGCTGTGTGGACGACGATCCTAAGGGGTGCTAAATTGGTTACAAAGGGCATCGAGTTTACTCGACTCAAGCCGACGTTAATTGTATAAGAAAGGGAGGTACAAAGTCAATCTACGTGACTCAATAATAATTTTTCTAGGTTCATAAGTGACGGTCGGTGCACGACGAATCGGACGTAATCTTGGCGCCAGCGCGGCACCGGCGCGACACATGCGGCAAAAATGGCTGCGGCGCGCGGCGGCGTCAACACTCGTAATTTCTATTTTTATTCATTTACACCAGTATCAAGACGAGATGCGCGAACGCCGTGCCTCCGAATCACATTCACAGCGTATTATAAAGATATATTATGCAGCCACATCCCACTAAAGCTGAAGCTGGCAGCTGGGACGCACCAAATACCCACCCCTACATGTTGACAAGGTCCGAGTGTGTAAATATTTAGAGCCTTTAGAGCACATATATGTCCTATATATTAGTTTGGAGACCTCTAAGCGCAAGCATCACTGACTATTGTTACATTAGAAACTTATTCTGAGCGTTTCATGCCGATAATTCTCCACGTTTTCTGGCCGTTACATAAAACCACGTTAATATGTTAGCTTCAGTTTTTATTAGTATTCGGGCCGCCTGGGTGGCATTGTTTCAAAGTGTAATCAAAGAAATGTCAGTGAAAAATATATTTTGTTTTCGGTCTTACAGGAGCCCGTTCATTTGTTTTTTCCTGTGCGTTGCAACAACAGCCCAAACGATCTACCACTACTAAGCGATCGCGCCAAGCCATCATTACAGATACTTTTCGCTTGACATCAACAAAGCTTTTCGCCCAGACTTGATTCCTACTGTTCTACAGAAGAGATGTGCAGCAGAGCTTGCTCCAGTTTGTCTGCGTCTCTTCCAGCGCGGAAAGTTCCCAGGAATCGATCTTGGGTCCGACATTGTTTCTATTACATATCAACGACCTTCTTTCATGTAAGATCAAGAACTTTGCTGATGACAGCACTTTACATGCAGGAATTCAGAGTGCCAAGCGGCTTCCTCTCTAACGAGAGATCTTGAGGTTATCACTGTTTGGGGATGCAAAATCTGGTACAATTTAATTCTTCCGAAGCATTGTACTGTATCTTGACTGACAAGAGCTGCTTATAGTAGCCACCTCGGTATTTAGCCTTCTGTCTACGTGGCTTCTTCGCGCGAACTCAGGAAATCCAGGACCGCCTATGGTAGGCAGTTTCGCCCCCAAAGACATCCAGCCTCTCCAAAGCGATACCTAATGTATTGTCACTTTTTTAATCTGTACTTTGATAACGTCCACGGAGGTGGCCGAAATGTTAGTAAAATCAAGCCTACATATACGTGGTTACATTTAATGGCCGAAAAACATGGAGAATCATTATCACTGCCTAGTGTGGATGCCAGCATCACAGACACAAAGGCCAGCTAGAGACGTCTTAGCCTCCGTCATAAGCGAATACTTGTGGAGTAAGCTTATCCAGATGTCGCTCTCAATATCGTCAAGACTTTCGATCAGTTTTCATAAGTTAGTCGCATTCGATGGACTTTGTAAGGATGTAGCTGCCATTCTTCATTCCATATCATTGAAGCGGAACCTCAGGGATCGGTTTTGGGTGCAATGATTTTGCTCTATCTGAGCACAGTAAATCCAATATAGCTTTGCAAACTACAATATTTTCTAAGCGCATATTATAAGTAGGTAGTCAATCAATTTCTGAGAATTAATTGGAAAGTAGAAACTGACAGCAACTAATCTGACGCAAAATATAGATAGAGGTTGTAAGTAGGACTTGGTACATGATGCTAATCAATGATTTTCAAGGTAAGTAATGTACATTATCACAAGTTACCTGGGCAAGTAACTGACTGCGATAAATGTCCGAGAGGAAACTAGTAAATACTGTTACAGGTACCCTCATGAATTATGGCTACAAGTTGGAGAACATTTAAGTAATATCAACAAGTGATATCAAACTATGTATCAAAACATTTGCATAGTAACATTCAAGTAAATTTAGATTGCCGCGAGCATTGTGTGGGAGGTGAATTAACGCTTAAAAGTCATTTAATTTTTGAGAGCCGTGCATCGGCTTGCCGGCGCCTATCAATTTATAGATCAACAACGAACCAGCAAGACAATGCATGCGTTGGTATTTAGAAGTCATTCCAGTGACGTGTGTCTTTTTGTTGTGCGATGCGGGTAAGTGGAATAACTTTGTCGCGACGATTTTAACCTAAAAAATTCGACTGAGTCTATGAGGAACAAGCCGAAAGCAGCGCGAGCGTGGCCGCGTTACGATAGGCGCCAACCGAATTTGACGCGAACACAGAGACGGACTTATCAAGTACATAGACGAAAAACGGAAAAAAACCATGTGGAAGGGTCACGAAATGCGGAAGCCGGAAGAAATCCTTTGATGGTGCGATGCCACCACTCCATCTGACCCTGGACCTCCAAAGTACACTGTTGCCACATGTCTCCTGACGTCCGGAAAATACTGCACATGAATCTAGACATATATTGTTGAGTGGAATCAATCAGACAATTCGTTATGAGTTTAGCATTGATCTAGCAGCAGCTTGGGATTATTAACTATATATTAATCTACGAAAATATTCACTTTCCAAAGTGTAAGAATCCAATCTTTCTAGTGCAATTCTGATCTGTATGTTGTTCACAGATTTCGTAAGCTACAGAGACAACTGGAGAAAACTTCAAAATGAATCAGTGTTTTATAATGAAAATTGACAAATATGAACAATATTACAATTAATCATCCCGACATGAGAAAAGGCAGTGCTTTAAACAAGTAAAGATTACCTTATTGTTCTGGAGGAAATTTTAAAAGATCGAACTTTGGGGTAAATAAAATAGTGTTCCATAGTTTGATTACTTTCATTGATTAACGCATTCTATATGGAAATAGCCAACCAAGGTAATGCTAATTTTTACGTCAAAAAAGTATAGAGGTAAGATAAAATGAGATACCGTAGCGTCATCTATGGGGGAATTTGGCACTGTTGTGTCTCTATTTACATATACTGTCAAAAGGCCTCATAGACGGCGTTATTGTCACATAATATGCTCGATATTTTCTTACATCGCCATCTATAAGCCACCAACTTTTTTAAAGCATATATAGAAAATAGAGACACAGATTTGGCAAATCTCGGCCAATTTTTGGACGCGGAAATATAGAATTAGGTCGGCTATCTTCAGGAATTAATCGATGTTACGATGGATGCATACACCAATTTGGAATGTGGCTATCTATCGTTTCTCATCCTTAAAAAAGTCTGGATGTTGAAATGTTGAACACATCTCTGGTTGAGGTGTATCCAAAATAATGTTTGATCTTTATTCAAAAGTTCGAGTACATACAATATGTATATATATATATATATAGCAAATGATAAGGTGTGTGTGATAACGATTATAGCACGTCTAGTGACTTGGACGGAAAAAATCGAACCCGCACATTTGAACAACTTAATGGCAGGCGCCAGGTTGGCCAGAAGATAAGGCACACAAGGAAGGCCGTTGCAAGGACGCGGTATAGTTACGCTAGAAATTGTCAGTGGCGTGTAATATTCACAATCATCACTATAATTATGTTAACTTAGTATGGACACTTACGAAAGAGGAGAGATAGAAAATCAACGTTACAGAGATCTCCTACTGGCGAAGGTGCTGTCAGCATACGATCTTGAGAGTCCCTAACGAAAAATAAGATGGAAAATTAACATTGGAACTAGGGAATGAAGAACCAATGATGGAACCTCACTAATAGATGCCGTGTAACAAAATAAATTTCTATGGTTTGGTCACATGCGACGAATGACAGAAGTAAAAATTGCTTTGAAGAGTTGGGAGTACCAGAAAAGTCGGAGGAAGAAGAAAGAAGATTTAGATCATATCATGGAATGTAGATATATAAGAATCTAAGGAAAAGGGCAACTTACAAGAATACATACAGCTGGCGACTAAAAAACGGAAAAGAAAACTATTTCATTTTTTATTTCAATATCATAAGATGAAGATAAAGGAGTTTCCTTATAGTTAATTCTGCATGAAAAATCTCTGTAGGGGTTTACAAAAATATGACTCACCGTATTGCCCTAAGGAAATATTCTGTCATACCCAATTATGATACTTATTATTGTATTTTTTTTTATTTTTCACGGGTTAAGTGACAGACTAGCTTCAAGCTAAACTTCGCCCTTTAATAAAAATACGTCTATTATTATTATTACTATTATTATTATCATAAGAGTCCCAGCAGCTACGATAAGAAACCTTCTATACGAATGCCTTAATCCCTTCAAGCTGCTAAAGTTGCAGATTTTGCAATATAATTTTGTAGTACTAGTTGATTTTTCTGTTTGTACAATATCCATAATTCCCCTTTCCTGTTTCATGTCATTTCACCTGCATAATACTGTATTCATCTCAGATAGTTCAGACATATATTTCACGTGGTCATTACTACGACAACAGAGTTGTAAGGCAAACAAATGCCAAACGGGTTGTTAAGAGCTCTAAAAGATTTATTTCCAATAGTTTTGGTCTCCCTTTTGAGCTTAGATTCACCAAGATCTTTTTAAGCGACTCATCTTATATAGGCGTTTTTCAAGATGCGTTATCCACCTAACATTCCAGATCTGAATCCATGGGAAGTGTTGGGAGTCGTCGTCGCTCGCGGCAGCGGAGCATGGTGGGCAACTCAATAATACTAAATTGTCTAAAAATAATTCCCATTATGCGGATCGGAGCGAGAGAGAGATATTCGACCGACAATGTCGTCAATTCTGTGTGTGTATGTGTATTGTCTTGCACTTTCACACGCTTACGAAAACAAGTGTGGCGCCTTTGCTGAGCGCGCGGTGGCGGGCGGTAGAGCGGCTACGCGGCGCCGTACACATGCCGGATTATGGCGCGGCAAGCACCATTTTGGGTTTTTCGGCGTGTACACAGAGACGGTTTTCAATCATTTTAACTGCAACTTTACCAAAAAATATCAGGTTTTCAGTCATGTAGGGTGCGGCAGCATAACATTCATGCGCGCCATTCAGTCGGTTGATGTAGCAGACTATATAGTTTTTGCCTGGTAGGAGCGGATGTTCACAACCCATCGCGCTTTTCGGAATCGCTTTAATTTAGACTAGGTGGCCTCTGTCCCTGACCGGAGATTAATGGTTACGTAGATATCACTACATTCAGACAAACTGCAAGTCCGACAAGACGAAGAACTGGAGTCCCTCGGTCCACTATTTCACCTGAAAACATTGAGGCAGTGCGAACATCAATGTTGCCATTACCTCGGCGTTCTGCGTCTGCACTTGGACTTTCCGGTCGTTCTGTGAGGAGAGTTCTTCATGATGATCTTCATTTCCATCTTTACGAGATCAAGCAGGAACTTTTGGACGTTACTTCAGTTCTCGGTGAGAGAGTGACACGTGTGAGCGTCTTCTCAAAGTCGTTCCTGAGGACGCTTTTTTTTAGTGTGGATCCGTCAGCATACGAAACATGCGCGGACACCAATCCTCGAGAATTGCATCAAAGGCATTTGCATTCACCTAAAGCCTCAGTGTGGTGTTCAATTTGCTCAGCTGGAACTATTATTGTTTCTTCGAGGAAAATAAAGTTCCAGTGACCGTGAAATCGAACCGATATGTAAACATGTCACACAATTTATTTTCCACTGCTAGATGAGGACTTAGGGGGGCACTTAGTTCCACCAAGACGTTGAACCGGCTCTCACTTCAAGGGCACCGATCGCTGTTTCCAGAACGCCTCATCTCAATTAGGGGCGATTTGGAGTGGTAAGCCCGATCTCCCGATTTGGCCCCTTGTATTTTTTTCTATGGAGTTTTTGAAATCTCGTGTTTATGTGAACCGTCCAAGAAACCTACACGATTTGAACACCAACATCCAGGAAGAAACTGCTAACAAAACGCCTACTATGCTGGCAAGAGTCATGATAAACGCCAGAAACCACTTTGCTTGGTATGGAGAATGGAGGACGTCACATATCTGAATTGTCCTTAAATTCGACAGTGATCAGTCTGCGAATATAATCTCAAAACCTCTTCAGTTTCAGGCTACGAGCCTGTTTCTAATATCACCATTCACGGAAATAATATCATGGATAACGTTCATCTCTCTTCGTCCAAGTTCTGAGATGACATAATATCGCTCCAAGACTCCTTATACCGGTACCACTTCACATACAGGAGGCCCCACGCGAGGTGAACGTCGCTCGCTACTTAACGCAGTTCCCCAGGCTGTTTGGGTGCGACTCTTCTATCAGGCGTCCATACACTACATATACATACATTTTTGACAAACTTTAATTCGACATACTAATGAGTTTGACACTTCCCTTGCCTATTGGTAAAGTTCGATTTCTAAATAAGGATATTTTTAATTATGCCTTTTACTTCCTACGCCACTGGCGAGGAAGCATGGTGATTGCAGAAAATTTCGAAAATATGATATTATTTCTTTGGATGCTATTCGAAATGTACAACAAGAAAAACCATGTCACTTATTTCCGTCGATCTGTCTGTCTGATCGCTAATCTTACAGAAGTTCTGCTCGAATTTTGATGAAATTTTCACACACACTGCTATGGCAAGGACGAAAAAGGCCAAAAACTAAAAAAAATCACTCAAACTTCATTTTCTACGTTTCAGAGGATTCTGATAATTTTTGCAGCGGCTAAAAATGGATGTTGGGCGTTGTTGTGGGTGGTGGAAAGTATATGTCAATTTTTTCCCGGACTTGTGCCCATAAATCTTTAATTTTTATTTACTATTTTCGATATAAGCGTGCCGGAGAACTCAACAAGGACATGTCTGTATACCTCTAATGCTGAGGGACAACTGAAGGATGAGTCGATGAGTGTACAGGGTATTCGAGAATGCAACGCCGTCCTGGGTTGCCACATTGTTGGGTGATCGGTACGGTCGGTAGGACCAGATCGCAATCTGTGGGGTCTATGGACTAATTGTATGACTGTTTCTCTTGATATACATGTTCCTAGCCCGCTTTTTCTAAGATGTACTAACTTGTGCCAAATATAATCATTTACGAATTGATGGCAGCGTTGCGAAGGAAGTGCAGGGTCATCCTACTTGAAGCCATTTTTATAAATACTTAACTATAATTGTTTAGCTACTAGGACATATGAATCATCTACTCACCACCATTTGTTGTAAATGACCCAAGATAAGAGTCCCTACACAACAAAGGTACTTCGCTTGGTGCACGATCTGAAACAAATGAAAAACTATAGTTTTATTCTTATCCCAGTAGTTCAAACACGTTACTATTCTCTGGTACCAAAATAAAAGACAGCAGCGGAACACATCGCACGCTACTGGCCAGCGCCGCATATCCTTGAATATGGTGGAATGTTAAATCAAAGGGTCTGCAGTAACGCGCGATGTGTTTTAGTGCTCTCCTGCTTTTTGGGATACGAATACTGAAAGTATTTAATAATGCATTTTGTCCAAAAAGCCGACGTTTCAAAATTTAGTTGGTGTCTTTCTTCTTCAGGGCAATTGAGTGTTGCAACAAACACGTCGCATTCCCTCATGTCAAATATAAGCATGAATAAAAACAAAATAAACTGAATACAGTGTAAAAAATAAAATCCGAGATGCCACCGTCTGCTGCAGTTATGTGAATACGGCCGCAAAAACATATATTAAGAATATCAAAAACTGAGCATGAAACTCCAGTAAGATGTATAATAGTTGCATTAAAAACGCATATTGAGTGAATCTTTAAACAATTAACTGCCCGGTACATTTTGGAAAATGCTCTTCATAAACATAAGTTTCCCAGAAAACATAATTCAGCTAAGGAAAAATACAACAGTCATACTTATTTTGTGAATGAAATGACGTTAACGAAAATGCATCTAGGCTCACAATGAAATGTCCTACGCACACAGCAAGGCGACGATCGATCCATCCTGTAGAACATTTATCAACCGAGCTGTCGATTTTAGCATATTCGCTACTTTATCTTTAACCGAAATTTTTTGGCACGTTCAACCAGTAACTAAGCGCGAAAATACTTCGACATGTGAATAATTAGTGTATTTTTTCGTAAGAAGGCGAGAGTTACACATGTCGAACTTGTACTTAGGATACAGATTATTTTTCATGCGGACAATGTTATTTTAATCTCCTATACCTTTATCGTTGAGGAAGTGAATTTCCATCGATCTTGTCATGTCAATCATAGTATTTTTCAATGTGAACCGTAAAGCTGTAGGCGCTTGGTTTAATGACTATTTAACATATTTTGCTAGAAGATGCTATATTACCGCGTCCAAGAAATTACATCACATAAAATTAGTGCCTCATTGATGAAGCTGTATGAACATATACCGGCTATAGTCAGCGTCATCTAAGAGGCACTAACCTTTTCAAAATATATATTATAGCGAATAGAGAAAAGGTTGTGACTCAATGGTATCTCATTTTATCTTGTACAATTTTTTGAACGCAGGAATATAACATTAGATTAGCTATCTTCAGGTGGAATACGTTAATACGTTTAATGCAAAATCACGTTAATTTCGGAGTAAAGAAATCAGTGACACTTAACTTTGAGAAACTCTTCCCAAAAATTGACAAAATAATCTGCTATAATTTCACTTCATCCATTCAATTAGCTAAGAAGTCGTTTTTTAATATTGATATGCTTACTCAACCTGTATAGATGCCCATAAGGTATGGCTCAAGCCGTTCATCGACTTTTTTTCAATGTTGCCATATTTTCGATTAGCACCGATTCTTAAGATAGCAATTAAATGCTTTTTACTCTGAATTGAATTATTCTGTAAATAACTAATTTTATTTTGAGGTCATCAATTATGATTGATTCTTTGACCATCTACTATTGTAAAATAAACTCTTTGTAATAAAAAATTATTTTCTACTTTTTAGTTCGGTTAGCTATAAAAGCGTTTTTTAGTATTTTTAAACTATTATGTATTTTTATTTTTATAAATATACATAAAAGTCAAGCTAACAAAAGCGTGTTAAATATACCACAATCTGCCTCCTGTGAGGAGTGAACTCACGATCCCTGGTTTACAAGACCTGTGCTTTGCCACTTGACCTACAGAGGCTTGTAATTTCAATATTCGTAAAGCGGCATTTGAAATCCTTGGCTTTTTATCAACATATCTGCTTTTTACAGAATTTTTCTTATAAGGGTGATGAAAAACTGTTATCAAATTATTGCATTGTCATCGATCCTTGATAAGTGTGCGAAGTTTCAAATTAATCAAACTTCTGGAAATTGGTGAAAATTATGCTCAAAGATTCCATTACATCCATCCATACATACAGGCCAAGCTAATAAAAGCGTGTTAAAAATATGTTTTTCATTAGAAATAGCGCCTGAAATGTGACAACCATGGTTGTAATGTGGCCTACTGTACACCTGTGGTGTCTTTGTAAGCAGTGATTCATAATTTGGTTTATCGTTTTTTAACGGTATCACACACGCATTGCCGAAGTTACAGACGTAGAAAGAATACAACTGTAGTAGTAGCTGTAGTAATAATTTAAAAACTATGAAACTAAACATTTGTAATTTTGCAAGTAAAAGAGAGCGCGATAATTTAATAATTAGACTTTCGTTAAATGAAATGCCTCAAAGCTTAATTTTTGAAAAATACTTCCTAGGTTTCGAATACACTCCTTGATTTTCTGAATCCACCTTGGGGGTGCCAAAGAGCACTATAAGGATCCAAGTCAAAGGATCGGTAAGAAACCAGCACAAGAAATATTGGCTCTTAGTGACTGGATGCAGACATGGGTAATAATTTGCCCCGGCCGTGCACAGGGGTAATATTTTTAAAAAAGCTACAAATTCCATATAATTTTAAAGTGCAACATTTTTTATTAACCAGTTCGTTTTTGTTCTGATATTAAGAAACAAACTTTTAGAAAAAGGTCTCCGAGATCCCACTTCTTAGAAGATAATTGTTAACAACAATGAACAGATAATCACTTACCACATAGCCGACTTATTTTTCGATTTTTGACATTCTAGCTACCGACCATGCGCCCAAGATATATAAAACAAAAGTTAATAAAGGACCACAAACATAAAGCCTCTTCACTTCTCATTTATTGCAAGCCAAAATAAATATGAGCACTTGATCGTCATTTCTCTTCACTTTTCGCTGCCTGTCCAGGCATTTATGGACCGTCTAATAGAAGCGCGCAATTTTCACCGGACTGGTTTTGACGAGGCGTAAATGAGATTTGAATACACTATAGCTTACGTTGTTTCTATAAAAAACATGGTGGCTTTTCTCGTACCAATCTTATCACTCCACGCCATAGTTCAACCTTAGTTTTTCAATAACAGATTTCAATGTAAGATTCTTAATAAAAGTAATTTATGAAGTATAATTTTGCATCCTAACCAGATCGCCGCCATACCGCGACGCGTTGTATCATGAAACGTGGCAACCCACGCCATATTCTAATTTATTGAAATACGATAGACGTTGTTGCATATACTCGGTGTAAAAATAAACCGAATGGATCTTAAATATGCGTGCCGGCGACTTATTTATGTACTTGATTTCTAATTTGCCATCTACGATCTGATGTCATACCGGTTTTGATGAATTAAATCAGGTATTCGGCTCGTATAGGTCAAATGTTAACGAAAATTTCATTAAACACATTGTCATACTATCGCATTCATGCATTTGCAAAAACAACGACAAACATGTGTTTCGAATGAACTGGGGTAACTAAAACTATGCATGTTTGTGGACTTGTGGAACTTATTGTCTTTATTCTCCACCGATCAAACTTCGTTCTTGCGTTGTTTCTTGCCGTCAAAGTTATTTCTTAACACACCTATTATCGTGATTTTTCGACATCTTCATATTGCTATATGACACATAAGTTTGTTGACGTGCTGTACTGTTTCAGAAATTAACCTAACACTTGATAAGCTCTTCACCATGGTTTTCACTATTGAGGAAATGCTTCCTAAAAAGGCTAGAAACTAGTTGCAAAGACAAAATTTGTTAGAATGCGACCTAACAGAGTATTTCTCGTAGCCGTAGATTCATTTAATAGAAACAGCAATATGAGAATAAAAAATTTCCTACAGTCCTACCTAGGAAGTACATGTTCTACCAGGACGACCTAAATTCCCGGTAATAACATTTTTATTAGTAAACGACACAACTGATTCTACAAACACACGCAACAATGTGGTTGGCCATGCAAAAATCTGAAACGAGGCAATTTTCCGAAAATCAAAGAACAAAACCTGTTACCAACACGTCTGCCTATGATGAGGTGGAAAACAACAATAATGTTCAGGCTATTTGGATGCAACGAAGGCATCTGCTGCAATAACTTGAATTGTTCACTTAATTTTCGGTCTATAACATATTCTTAAATTTGGAAACACCCTGTAGAGTCCGATATTCAAAACAGCTCGATATTCAATCATTTATACATATAAATCATAGAAAGCACTATCCGATGAGTCACTGCCTCGTGCATATGAAGAGTGCAATTTCTTGAATCCTTCGATACATGCCCGATTCTATTTAAAGCTAAACATATCCAACGATTGTCAGCCATAGTCAGTTCGTAAAGGAATGTAAATAAATTGTTAATTTTTATACGGTTTGAATATAGAATCCAACGTATAGAGGACATATTTATGTTTTCCTATTGGACTTAAACAATTTTAAGAGGAACGAGTTCATTAAAGCACAGCGGGCATCGCGGAACGACCGGCGACGACGACAACGCAACCAACGACGACGGGGCTAAAACGAGCATAAAAACCTGACGCTGCTCGATGGGAGAACGGCCGACTATTTACTGGCATTCTATCTTGTTCCACCACAGACGTTCCACTCAAACATACAGAATCCAATCACATATAAACTAGTGCTCACCTTAATAATAAGGCAACATATATGAAACTTTTGAAAAATGTTTAAGCGGTCCATTCAGATGACATCTAGTAGACTAGGCTACTATAAGTCATAGTTCACGCAGCGCAGCTAAATTCATCTCAACGTAATCATTGATTTACGAATCCTACTTGAAGATTTTTTTATACCGAAACAGCCGCGAGACGAAAGCCTAAATACTGGAGCACCGCGCTGCTACAAGAAGCGTTGGTTTTTAGTCAAGGTGCAGTAGTACTGTTTTATATCAATGGTGATACTGTCGAGCTTTGCTGCCTGAGTAAGTATAAAAGCCTTCCCCTGTCCTAAAAAAAATCTGTCCTTTGCATTCACTCTGGTTTCGGTAACCTAAGCGCCGGTTAATGATCCAAAAATCTTACTTCATTTACCGTATCGAAGTACCCACACTTGTGTGAACTGGTACCCGTTTAGCTTTAGAACGTCTCTACATACCAAAACGGATTGTTCAAGCGCAAGCCAGAAGTTACGTCCTTGAACGTTTCGAAAATGAAACACACAGGACAGAATTACAGAAACCTTCGCCTTGAAAGTTGAAAAACGTGCCATATCACCCAGATAATAATGTTAGGTTTGAATTGATCAATCGAGACCGTATCCGACTATCCAAGGGTGCGTCTTTCCCCAAGGACATTCTTTCGTGTTCAAAAAGTGTGATGCCAAACCTGGCTGCACTTCCTTCATTGATCTGCTGCGCCCTTGGCTCGAACTTCTGTTGAAGGATAATCATAAAACCTCAACCAATACTTGGGAGTGATTGTATCAAAACTTCAACTTCTAAGGCTGCTGAAGAAACAGTCCCACATTTTTGCCACGAAGCCTTACTAAATTAGCAGAATAATACTCGTATTCAAAACCAAATATTAGTCTAGTTGGACAGTCCTGTCTTTGGCTGTTCAAGACCAATTCTAGGAACGTGAAAACGTACCCTGGTGGTCTTTAAAAATAATGCATGCCTTCGAAATTCTACGGTCGATCAAAACTACCAGAGGCGATGTATATTTAGATCCCAAAGGAAATTTTTCGTGGCGGAAATAGCTTGTCCTTCGTTACTTTGGTTGCAAAAAAATATTTGGCGTTTGCTAAGATTAAAAATAAAAATATTCCTGAATGAAAATCAAACTGACAACTGACATGTTTCATCAATATCTGAGACACTATATTCCGTTCGACTAGTAATTGGGAAAATTTTGCTAAACCTAGATGTCTTATTCTGTATTAAAGGGAAGATAGTCGGACAAAATCATCTTACGATCACTTGAAATAATCTAGAAATAATTTTGAGGACTGGAGATCAAAAGGGGTTAACCTTGCTTAGTAGGATAACAACAGGCGTACCTACTTTTGATTTTCACAGATTGTACAACAGATGAAGTAGTCACAACAAAGGTTGAAAGGGTGATCCACTCGCATTAAACCTAAGCCTACACCTAGGTACTGAGCCAATCTACTTTACACGTAATGTATGTGATAATCATCATAATTCATAACTATGCCTATGACCTCCAGTGCTTGGTGAAATGACCGCGAGCGCCATGCCATAAAATCAGCGGTTGGCGTCTCGTCTTGGTACGAGAACGGTATTCATGTCATACTCTGCTGGCTGGTTTAATTCTTCAATTGTACCCAACCTAAGCAGCACCAGCAGACAGGATTTTTGGCGCCTGCTGCCGGTCGCGACGAATTTTAAATACACATATTTATATATTGTCTCTTTCCCAGAATACGTCATCGCATGGTTGCGAAGCGTGGCTATTCTTTTGTTTGCTGGAAGCATCTATATCGTCAGTCACCCATCGAATAGTGAAAAGTTGATTAGTTGATAGACTTGGAACTTTCGGTACCCAGGAACCAGGAACTCATTTACATGTTTTCTGGCCGATAAAAACACCTCGAGAGGCTTTTTGATTTAATACTACCACCTATGAGTAGTTCGCCAAACGCGGTACTATCGACCCCTACGCCGGTGGCGGGAAATAAAGCATCTCTTATTGACAGTCCTTTTCTCAATAAAACGGACACCTATCTCATAGTTACCTCGTCTCTCAGAGGAGGATTAATTGCACTATGCTACTAGGGTACCATAGAGACTAAACATAGGCTGAAAGGATCTGTTCGCTTTTTGCCTCTGTGACCATAACCAACAGTACACCTCGTTGTTTGCTTAAAAATCATGACTATGTTGTACAGTAGTGGTTGTGGTCATACAGAGGAAAAGCTAACAGATCCTATTCAGCCTGTTAATACCTGTAGCTTTATCTATCGGCCGAAAATTACAGTATTCAAGAAATTTTGAACAGAGTATGTTACCCAAAATGTTACTTTGCCTAAATAATAATCAGAAATCGTGAAATAAATCTCGAATCAACCACTGCGAACAGTGAATGGCAGTCGCCGGTTGGGACTGTAAAGATCTCATTCCGCATTGGAGGCCCAGTCACCAAGTGATCGATAGATGGTGACGATTCTAGCTATGTAGATGTAGCATACTTGAGATTGAACAAACTAAACGTGCTGATTTCTCGTCCGTCCCATCAAAGACAGTCAACCATGCTGTTTCATGCTTTTCAGCATCTGATCAGCAAGGTCTACGCTTGGTCCCTCGTCTCTAGGACAACGAACAAAAGCACAGCAAACACTATTCCGACCATGCTGATGAGTAGCCAAAAAGTATGAAACAGCTGTCCATCATTGGCTGTCTTTGGGCGGGCGGACGAAAGCATCATGCAGGTTCCTAATTTGTATATCCTTCTATCATCTTGTCTTTGCTGGCGTCTCTTGTATCCTCAACGCCCTTATTTGTTCCCAAAGAAAATCTGTTATCACCCGCGTTTCATTCTTCAGAGCCCGTTCGAGTAGGGCAAATCCAGTGATTAAGGAAAAACTTGAATTCGAAGGCCCTTATTTTCGTTACAAACAACACCGTGACGCATATCTTGGCCAGTCCTCCTGTGAGTAACCTGCTGGGCTTTCCCGAGAATAGAAGGTGCCGCTGGCGCCTCGCATCCAGAAGGGTTCTTTGTTTGCCCTTCGCCGGGCACCTGAAAAATCATCAAACTCTCCTTTGTGGCGGCCGTCCACTAAGTAACTATGGGTTCAACTGGATTCAAATCACTGCGCCTCATGCATACTGGTTCGCTCTCCCAGGGGCACGTGGACGTGCTATCACCAATAACTCTCCCTTGGGAATCCCGATCACCGTACGGCCGGTGAAAAATCAGTGAGTAACGATGGGTTTCCCTAGAAGGGTCCACCCTGCAGTCGCTGGCGCCTCACGCACTCAGAAAGGGCCTTTGCTAAGGTGGCTGCGGTGGCCCTTGTTTCCCCTTCGCAGAGCACCTGTTGTCATCTGTCGGCCGGCGGCGCCGGAAGAGATGGGGTGCCGTTCACCGCCTTTTATTGCCCAACACGGAAGGAGAGGAGACAAGCAGGGCCGTAATTGGTGTCACTTCGAATAATTGCGGGTTGTTTTTGCAACGGTTTATGTCAAGGGTGTGACATTACACATTTTGCTTTTTAGCCGTTCTATAAGTAAATCGGAAGTGGTTGAATAATGACAAGGTTTATAAATCTATATTAGACGATTGGTGTGATAGCCAACTATATATATATAACAACAATTGAAATGTAACATATGTATGAGCGCACAAAACCAATACCTACATTTTTTTATACATAAATTGAGGCGCGAGATGGGGTAACAGCGGAAATTTTCAAGCAGGCTCTGGAAGATGTTTTAAAAAAAATATACTAGAAGAATAAGTTATAGACATTTGAATCATTTAACATACTGGTAAGAAAGAAGATTTGCTTGAAATGTTGGAACATAGAAGCTACAAATATAGGCCTTAATATGAATGACATCAAAACTATAATCATAACAAACACAGATGATAACTTCACAATAAGAAGCGGACAGGGCGAAAAAGAACAAGTTCGCGAATAAATATATTCTCAAATTATAAGACTCGACAAGGAGAACCAAACTGGCATGACCGCCATTTGGCAAATTAAGCTATATTTTCAAAAACATAATATCCCTGAAATATCTTAAAACCAAAATAAGTAATCTGTGTCCCTGTTCTCACTTATGGTTCTACAACGTGGATATTTACAAAAGCAAACATCAATGAAAACACAAACGTTGAACATAATAAAAAAGAATCTAGCGGATAAAAAAGAGAACAAAAGTAGAGTCGTTGCAAAATTAAAATGGGGATTCGCGGGCCACAATATAACATAGAAAGATGACAGATGGAACAAAATTAGTATAAATTAGAGACCCTGGAAATATAAACGAAGCAGGGGAAAGCCCTAATGAGATGGGCAAATCATATCAAGAAGCACGTTTGATATACTTGGATGAATATAGCGACAGACAGAGAAGTTTGGGAAAGGATTGGGGAGGCCTATGTCCAAAAATGGACCGAAGAAGGATAATAAAAATTAGAAGAGATCATTGGAATTGGATATCGTATGGAATAACAGAAGTACTAAGAAACACTTTGTTTGCTATTTTCTGTATGTAAAATAAAAGTATAATTGCGAAAGACTGTCGGATTGGAGTGATCGGAGTGGTTTAAATCCTCAGAATTTCCTCCTATAGGTCTGTGAATATTTCCAGCTGTTTGGAATTGGTCAACATAAAATGTTTTGATATCGTATAACTGACGACCATAATGAGAACATCGACATTTAAAATCAAATTGTTGCTTATTTGTTACAGTTGACAACTGGTAGATGTCGGAATAAACTAATTCGTATTTCGAGACGAAGTCAAGACAAACAATTTTTTAGGTGTGCAGCAGCTATGTGGTTACTATCTCTGGCACAAAATACGTTTTTAACCCAAATATTTCGTCAAAGCAGTCATACTATTATTAATTAATGCAAGCCTACCTTCAGGTCGTAACATTTCTTCATTAGTTCTACTATAAGGTGGTGGTGGACAATCTGAAACAAAACAAGAAAAATAAATACTTACGGCACAGCAACAAACTAAAAAGAAAGCTGCAACATTTTGACGCAGTTTTAAATTTTGCACACTGTTCATTTCAGATCTAATTTTTTGAATTTCAATGGTTCGTTAAACAGCATTCGGATCACCCATTTGATAGGCAGACACAAACAGTGCGCTACGTAAGTATTTCTCTTATTTGCTTTGAGCTCTAACGGATATCGTTATCACATACATCCCTTGGATACCGTGACATACCATCAACCATGTAACCATCATGCAACATCTTCAACGCCCTATCCTATCCTTAAACATTCTCAAAAGTTAAATGCTCAGAGGTGCATGTCCCCCTGAACATCTCAATTAGGGCAAAAAGTGAAGAGGAGGCATACTGGAGCCATTTGTCATTTGTTGTCTGCTATGCCTACTGCGATGGTGGTCGGCGGCCGCCAATTATATTGAAGAAATCAGGCGAGCCGTGGACGAAGATGGGAAGAAATGAAAAAGATGATGCATCTTCGGTCTTTGGCTGGCGCAAGCCGGTCGGTCGGTTGATGCATAGAGTGCAGCCGCCCGCCCAAAGTCTGTCTGGTCTGGTCTGCTGGGGTTGAGACGCTTTTAGTTCAGTCATTATAGGATTCAAGATAAGAAAAATATATAGAAAATATCAAACAGTAAGTTTATGGGGGAAGTATGATCTACATCACCAGAACCGCACCATGACAGCGATACCTTCATCAATTATCAGTTTTTGGCAATTTACTGATAAATATGACACATTGTGAAGAAAATCGAAGGAATGCAGTATATAGAGAAGATCTAGTCCACATCCCATAAGTCATACCTACCGGAAGCCATTTGGACGAAATGTGGCCAAATTAATACATTTGTGGCCGGAAGTCGAGGAGGTGCTCACGGGAACAATTTCTATTTTATATTCCTAATCGGAGCAGATCCAAGGCAATTTAAAAAAATATATCCCAATGGGAGGAGGGACAAATAAATGCAAAAAAATCCAAGATCTTTGCCAGTGGAAATACAAAGAGAACTGAAAAAATCCAAGGAAAGTCAAGTGCCTGTAAGGTGATCCGAACATGAGGTTCAAAGAAATTTGAGCCAATGGTACATTTTGTTACACTGATTTGTCAGTGGGGCTTCTCGTAGGATGTTTACTGAAGCAGAAAACTTTCAAACTAAAAGGACGTATTATGAAAACTACAAAGGAGGACACCATCTTTAACCAAATCACGTTATGGAAGTATCACCTTCCAAAGGCTTCGATGCGAGTTAGATTTAGCAATCAAAACAGTGCGGCTAGGGAGGGGGTTACGGATTATCATCAACTATTAAATAATAATCATGAAATCTCAAAGAAAACACTTAGGATCACTTCTGCATGAAACAGCTCACTACAAAAATTAGTTCTTATCTCAGGTCAAACACTTTACTAGTCTTGATCTACCGATTCTTGCGATATAAATACTCAAGGTGTTTCATGGGGAATTTATTTGAATAAATGCATCATTAACACCGTGAGTATTTTATTCTGAAAATCTTAAGATTAAGATTAATAATATAACTCGTAGCTCGAGAAGCAAAGCCAGGGAGAAATTTCAAAGCAGTGGTAATTTTGAAAATTAGTAAACAATATTAAAATGAGAAAAATCTTTAGCAAAAAGCACATAACAGTAGGTATAAAATATACGCTCCTCAGTCAATGTAACTAATAGTCCTGATCTATATTTGGTATCCAACCGCGGCAGAGATACGAACCAGGCGCCAGCCACAATTTTCGACGATTACGCGGCGACTGTCGGCCGCCGCCGTGCCGGTGCAATGCCGTGTTGCCATTTTTGTACTTATCATACATTAGGCATCATCATTATTGACAAATATTGCCATGCCAGGTATCCATAATAAGAAAAATAAGGAGTCTCATATCAGAAACTACCACACTTCTGCCTATTATCATCAACCATCCCAAACAACCGCTGTCTGAGGAATTATTTAGAGAATATTCAGCTCGACGTATGATCCGGCATGTTCTTGAAGAATTTGTAATTGTGCTCCTTTAACACAGTTGTCATGGCACGGATACGTAGAATACAAAGGAGCTCTGGGAACAAATTTGGTTTCAGCATCCCTCTTTTCCAGACTATCTGCTATTATGTTGCTCTTGGATGGAAAATGACCCACGCAACAGTCATTGTGCCGAATGAAAGTCTAGTACTGTTTTCGTTGTGAGCTTGCAAGACTTCAGAGTCAGTATTGTTTGTCTGTTGTCCGTGCAGATCGTACTATTTTTGTTGTAACATTTCCGCCGGCAATCTTCTTTGCCGCTAAAGGCATGTCAGTTAATTCGACCTGCATCACGTTAACATATTTATCCATAGACCACTTGAAATTCATACATAGGCGCCTTGAGTTCACTCCCCAGCCAACTCCATCATTTTTCTTAAATCCGCCAGAGATGATAAGACCTTCTGCAACAAGGTTTCTAGGATCCGTAGTAATAGTATAGCACTTCTACCTTGCTAAGAAAGATATTTTATAGCTCTTCTGTTATCTCAAGTGACAAGGTAATATACGCAATTGCTTTCCGTTACAACATTGTGGTCTCTGAATGCATTATCGCTGAAGAGTTATCAAACAAGCACACTGTATATGCAAACAGTATGTTTAGCATGATAGCAACAGACAAGTTTTTATTTAAGGCTTAAGCCAGTTTAATTAGCAACAGTTGCGTCCTGATCATCAGCGTCCAGTTACCAATTAGCTTCGATTCGTTTAAATGCAATTTATTAGGCCATTTGTATGGAAATTCAATGCCAGGTACTACAAAACACGAGTACCACCAGTATTTACATAATGCCGATTATATGCAAAAAGTATACATTTCATCGAGCCTGATAGGATCGTTATCTCTCAGCCCCCCCAACATGGCCTCGGGTGCTGCTTACACTCCGTGATTATGATGATGGTTCTTGGAACTTCCTTACAAAGATGAGTTGACTAACCTAAGGTACATAACAAATTCGAACTTCCTGAAGTGTTCAAAAATGTTCGAATTTTAGATAACGAAACCTCTGAAACAAATATTTAAATACGAGAATTTCAAAGCAGAAAACCAAAATACTATATGTAAGATAAATTCAGTTTATGCTTTGAAAACGCCTGCTGCAGTGAATAGTCAAAACGATAAAGCAATTCATTAAACATCTACAGTTTTGCCACTATACAGATTCCCTTACAAATTCAGAAGTTCCTTCTTTGCTGTAGTTATTGGAAAAAAATTCTATTAGAATGTTCCACAATATCTTGGCAAGCAGCTGCAAAATAATGACCAACATGCCATGCTCTGCGAAAAGTTGTCTGTTGTTTTTGGGAAAAAAATACGGTGATTGAAAATCAAATTCTTTGTTATAACCTTTGATTTAAATTATTTTGCTCACTTTGAACAAGCCATGAAGTAAGTGTTGTCTGAAGATGAGTATTTTCAAATTAAAAAAATGTTCCAAAAATGCAAAAATGTTATTTCAGGGCGCTAAAATGTAAATAAAAAGTATTGTACTTATATGAGGTCACCAAACAATTATAAAGAATCCTTTATACTCCTCTACAGGAGCCTAATGGAAATATATTGTTTGTACTCCCTATGCCTTCACTGGCGAGGAAGTATTGTAATCGCGAAAAATTTCAAAATTGAGATACGTATATAGCTCAAAACAAAAACTTAGTAAAGGCATGTTTTTTATCACGTTTAACTTTCCAAATCATTGAGAAGACACAGCATAGTGAGATTAGGTTGATCAGTCTTCCATCACTCGAATAAAAAATAAACTAATAACTTCTTAACTACCAATTATATCCCTGAATAGAACAAACACCCTGGTTCAAAAAGAAAACGGTTAGAATCGACTTTACATCAGAAAAGGCCACCCATAACCACCAAATAATTTCAACTATTATAGATTACAGAAAATGGGTTGGCTTGCTAGCCTAGCGCCAATTCAACCCACATGTCTAAGGCACTGTACACTTTGCTTGTAGCTTTTCGCTGTTTGAGTTGTGATTCCCAATATCTAAAACAGAAGCTGGTCTTAGCAGTGACACAAGAGATTCACTGGGGCTTCCTCATATTCTCTGCAGAAACGGCATGTAGCTCCTTCTGCCATATCCAAGCGCCTCTTATGTCGATTTAGTCGATAGTATCCTATTAGGACACACACTGTCCCTTATGGCCTTCCTATTAAATCCTCTGGAAATGCAGGTTTTTTTCTTTAATGAACTCTTTTGCCTGCCATGGGCCACTGGCTGTTTCACCATAGTAGGAACCTTATGGATGGTTCGAGCGTGTTCTCGCCACGCCACACCTTGTTTAGGATACCCAGTTCTTTGAGAGTATTCCATCAGTATCCTACGAATTTGGACGATATTCGCGATAAACTTAATACCTCAATAGGTGCGTGGCTGTCTCAGCAGACGGTGATCGACTGATTTACAGTCTCCTTCCATATTAGCTCTTTTAACTTAGCCTGAAATATCGTTGCTATGTTATCTAGACTTATAGATATCTCGGTTTTTGGCCTTGTCTCATACATCCCAGCTCCAGCTCCTTCTTCAATTTCTAGTATACTGACGCTGAAATTAAAATTCGCTAGAAGACACAATATTGATGCTTGTACCGGAATATCCCTAGAATCTGACATCACATTATTGGTCGTGTTGCGGAACAGGCCATTTCTACATCCTGTATATAGTATGATGATGTTGGTTCACAGGCTAATAATAAAGTAAAGGATAACCTACGCATCGGACATTTCATTCATTCGATATGGCGCCTCGCCTTCGCCTACACGAGCATCATCGGTGATAATTGTCTGAGGCGAGTAAAGCGGCCTTTACTTTGCCTTTACTTTCTGATCCGGCGGCATTGCATGGGCCGGACGCCTTGCTGCTTTACAGTCAGGGAGAAAACGACAAGTTTTTACTCTGAAATGGCATCGCATCAATCTGGAAAGAGTTCCCGGTAAGATTTCTCTTCATACCATTCTGTTTGTATAAAACACTAGCCTGAACCCTTTGGCAATGGATATTCTTTATTCAACATTTTAATGCAACAATAAATTAATATCAGATGTCTCATCACAATCACAATAAATGGATACGTGAAGTATCTTACAGCCTGTGGAGATACCTTACCAATCCGATGTTTGACTTGACCGCCGCAAGAAAGAACAGCGGAAAGTTGATTGGTAGCTGGTGCTGAAGACTAATTGGTTAGGTCGGCTACACGGGATGGAGGAGATGCGGGTTCGAGTGCCGCCGGCGCTCATTTTTTCTATTTCTCAAGTTGTTGTTTGCTAAATGATCTCTTTGGTCGCTGATTAGAAAAAGAAAGCTACTTCAACGCTACTCCCCACTTTAATCCATGCTTTTTCATGATCACTGTCCTCATAGAAAGTTTAAGTAGGTAGGTTTTTTAATATCGTTTCCGCGTTACAAGGCACTCAATACAATTAAAAAATATGACTTAACGAAAAATGATAGCATGTGTTTGTTATAGCTACTTGAACGCTGTTATGACCCATCTACGAAGGATGTCTTTCAAGTTTTGCATATAGAAACATAGTAGGCCGCGCGGATCGATCGTCAGTACTGAATCGTAACCTCACTCTTTAGTAAACTTAAATTCAAAGTTTCACAACAATACGTGCAGTGGTCTCACTACAATGAATTTTCAAGTGTCACCAAGTCATTAGAAAAATGGAACTCAACCGAAAACATTTTCGCGCCATAATTTATTACAACTCTCAGAGACAATTATCGCAACAAGAATGCGTTGCTGAGTTACTGTCTGTCTTCGGCATCGAAGCGCCACATCATTCGACAATTTCCCGTTGGTATGGAGAATTCAAACGTAGACGGGTGAATCTTAGCGACGATCCCAGGGTGGGTGCACCAAAAACGGCAGTCACCCAGGAAAAAGTCGATGCTGTGCGCAAACTCATCATTGAAGATAGACATGTGAGATATCGCGAGATTGTGGCGTCCTTGAAGATCTCAAAGACCTCAATTCAAGAAATTTTACAGAAGAATTAGGAGTAATAAAATTAGTTTCTCGTTGGATACCCCACCCGTTGACTGAAAAGCAGAAAGCAGCCAGGGTTAATTGGTGTCAAAAAACGCTTGACAGATTTAATTCCGGAAACTCAAAAAATGTGTACAGTATTGTTAGTGGTGATGAATCGTAGATTTGCTGTTATGAACCAGAAAATAAACGACAGTCGGCTGTTTGGGTGTTCCAAGGTGAAGAAAAGCCAACAAAAGTCATCCGTTCTGGATGTGTTTCGAAAAAGATAGTCGCGACATTTGTGTCAAAAGCGGGTTATATTGCAACAATTCCTCTTAATAAGCAAAGAACTGTTACTGCGGATTGGTATACCACCATTTGTTTGCCAAAAATCATCACCGACCTTCGAAAAATCTACCCCGAAAGAAGAATCATCCTCCACCAAGACAATGCAAGTTCGCACACAGCCCAAAAAAACAAGGCAGTATTTAACGGAAGAAAACGTGGAATTATTGGACCATCCTCCATATAGTCCCGATCTAAGTCCTAACGATTTCTTTACTTTCCCGAAAATTAAAAACAGACTGCGTGGTCAAAGGTTCCTGTCACTAGAAGAAGCAGTTGACGCATTCAAAAATGCCGTTTTGGATCTGCCAGCAAACGAGTGGAATAAATGCTTCGAAAATTGGTTCGAGCGTATGCAGATGTGTATTAATCTTCGTGGAGAATACTTCGAAAAACAATAAATTCATTTAAAACTACCTACCGTGTTGTTTTATTTCCATATGCAAAACTTAAAAGACATCCCTCGTACTAACTCATAATCTTCAAAGCGTAGGTGTAGCAATTCGGAACTTTTGAATAGAACATGTTGCTTAATTAGTTGTAGCTTTAGAGGCTAGTTCAAAAATGTCCGTTTTTGAGTATGCTTTCAATAAATTGGAAATTGAAGTTTGAAGATTCGTACTTTATACAGAAGATTCTAAATAGTCAGTGGTAGCTCCCTGACTAAAATACATTGCCGACCAAGATGCAACGCACCAGAGGACACTGACCCATCGCCTAGTTGTGCAGACCGTGGATAAAGCATCGAAGATACCAGACAGATGATACGAGGTGCTATAGGAAAGATAGCAGAAGTACCTGCTTGCATTAGTACCATCACATGCAACCTCCATTTTGTGGCAAAGATGAATCATGCATTCCTTTCAAGCAGATATTTTACTCTTAAATGGGCAATATACAAGAGCAAAAGGGATTTGGCAGTTAGGCAACATATCATTTTCTCAATCACTACAGATTATAGAGAAGTAATATGAATGGATCCAAAAAAAATACGGTTTAACCTCTAGAGCGGGAACACGCTTTGATTTGAAAACTTGAGAGGTGCACTAGTGTTTAACAAGTCTACCTCAATAACGAAGATATTATTTAGTCTAATTTGTTATAATAGGCGTATTCTTTAATTCACCGGTTGAGCTACCGGTGCAAACAGTTAGCCAATTTTAATTCAGGTTTGGTGTACAACCGGTCGTTCAGACGGAAATTAAAGGAAGTAAAATTGGATAACTGGTTGCACCGGTGGCTCAACCGGTGAATTAAAGAATACGCCTAATACTTTTATGATACCTGTCAAACACAGCAGCGAAAGGTAATGACGTTTCAGTAACCATATTGTTGCAGACCACAAAAACGTGAAAATGAGTGAAAAAAGAAGTACTTCCCAGTTACCAAAGACCTCCTCATCATCGTCCAGAAGAGTGGATCAACCAAATCAAGAACTACCGTCGACAAGTGGCATCAAAGCTGAATTCAATATCAAGATAACGATTACTCCAGACGAAAATAGGTCATTGCAGTCTCTAGATGAGAACATGTTGAAGCAAAAGGCTGAAGCTGATGATGAGGGCAGCTTTGTGACTGTGCCTAGCTTCACGAAAGTAAGTATAATTTCCTTTTAACATTTCATTTTTTCTGATATAAGTTGAGTCATTAATTTTCAGATACTGATTGTAGAAGGAAGATAAACCAAAATATGTGTGTAAAAATAAAAAAAAAATTAAACAAAAAATTTACCTTGTTTTATAAAGTATCCTCCCGACAAGTATTTCAGTGCGGACCTGTATTTGATCGCGAGGTCTTGGAGCACCGGCATGCCGTCTTAAGTCACCTGATTCACGAGCCCGTTGTACTACATTAACAAAGGCACGAGGGGTTGGTTGCACTCGATTGGGAAACCGATCGACATAAACATGTGCCATTTTTTATTTCGTTTGAGCCACGCAACAGATACCACTATTCACTAACGCGTTACCGACTGACACTGACTGTATACAACACAACTGAATAAAATAATTGTAAAAACATCGTTCCAAATTCTTTCGGTTTTTTGTTTCCGATGCGATGAACCGATGGCGGATTATATCCGTTGTTGCCAAACACGAGCACATAATATTATCATTGAGACAGGGCGGTACTCAAACTTCCAAAGGGCTATAACTTTGTTACTTTAATTTTACCAGAAAAATGGTAAAGGAAAAAAACATTTCTTTTGATCAGATCTACTCACTATTAAAATAAATGACTCAACTTCGACGTCACCCTGTATGTACCTGGTGTATAAATCGGAACTCTATTGTGGAAACGACACCACCAAGAAAATGTTGATTCTGTAAAAAAATTGGTATGTCTTCCATGTATTCGTGTGCTAAAAGAAAATTGGAGCACTTTTTCTCCCCAAAAACGTTTTCAATAGTAACGAGTATGAGTGGTCTAAATTTCGATAACAAATATCGCGATACTGATAGGTTAAAAATACTTAGAAAAGTATTTAATATCATGAGAATTCATATTAGGAGATTGCGACATCAATGGAGCCAGCAGTGATTCAGATAGCTACCAAGAGACACCAAAGTGTGGCTGCAGTACCAATGGTAATGGAAAATGTTCCTCCTCCTCCATATTATTCTGCCCAATCAGGACCGGAAAATAACAACAGGACATCAGGTCCTCAATCGGTAAGGGGTTGCTTCGTGACTAAGCAGTTAAGAGTACGTAAATAGATATTAATACCAAATGTTACACCAATTGCCAATCACTCTTAGCAGCAGAAGTGGCTGTAAACGATTACAAGGTATCTCTTCTGGTTGAGTATTGTTAAAGGCTCAGTAGTCAGGAAGAAGTAATAATATATGAGATTGAGAAAAATTGATCATTGGTGAAATCGGGGATTCAGTAACTTTGTAGGCACAAGCATTATCTATATATCTTCTCAAGTATTACTTCGAAGGTGGTGGTCCATTGAAGTGAGGTCAGAGTATTGCGTCGCAATAAGAACTTTTCAAAGAAAAATTATGGTATCATAGGTACCATAGTATCTAAGGACATTCTTAGATCCAAATTCTGACTCACACATCAAAGATGATTTTATTTAATGGACTATTTTTAATTATATATTAGCATAGATCCTTTTAAAACAAGATGATTTATATATGTTAGCGTACTTATGGTTTTTGATTATTTATTATTTATTGAAATATCGGATATTTTATTTCGAAAAACACTAAAGTATGATAGCCTGCTACCTTTACAGGTAGAGTAGTGAATTTTTTGTCAATAAATTGTTCATCTCAAATTTTGACCTAGTTCGTCGTTTTTGCAGAGTGGTCAAAAACACAAAATGCGCTTTTAATACTTTTTTAAGCCCCTGATATAAAAGTCAATAGTGTATATGTTTTGAGTTTTTTATTACTGGCTAACAATAGTCGTATTATCCATGAAAAAAAAATAATTATTAGATTTGTGATCAAAACTGAATCCTCCTAATTCGTTGGAACTAAACATTTTCCTTGGAATCAAAGAAAGTCTGTGTTTATTGTTTATGTAAAGAAAATTGACAATGGAGGGTGGATTCTAATATTCTTATATTTTATATGAGAAATTATGACCGAAACAGTATTTTGATTCCTATATCATAAAAGGGACTCTGAGTTTTGATTCGACAGGCAAATAAACAATGATGAATTTATTATTCTAATTCACACATAGTGAAAGAATTACATGGCAGAGATATCTGTTAATAAACTTAACCATAATTCTAACTAAAATAAAAAAAATGATTCGCGACACTGAATGCATTATTGGATATGATCTAAAGGTATAAGGTATCCCTGTGGTGGCCAATCTAAAGTTAAAGTGTTTGAATCAATGACGATTTAATATTTCCTGGAATGTGCCTTATATCCAAAAATACCACATGATCTTTCTTTCATACTGTTTGGTAGGTTGTACGTTGTAACTAATTCACGACTTGTCTTTTATTTCGATGGATAGACTGATATTATCATAAATAGATCAGGAGCTAACAATCAAAACCTATGAATATGTCATATCAATCTTCTTTTTTCTTTCAATAGTTTCTGTTTAGAAGTGGTATTTTGTCTCCACATGGATGAGCCACGCTATATTTATGTTCAAAGACTATTGGCCATGTTTATCTGACCAATCAAACCACACATGTTTAAAATTGTTCTTTCTTGTAGACGTTTCAGTCCCAACGGTGACTTTCTTCAGTACAACTGACACTTTTTTGACAAAGACGGTTCAATAGTACTCAATTCAGGATAACTCTGGTGGAAGAGCATAGCACATCTTACGCCACTGTTACTGTGGTGTGCCTTTGGTTATGGTGAGCTGTACGCACACGTTCACAGGGACACAGCGTTGGCAGTGGCGTACGGTGAGTTATACTACTCCGTTATACTATTCCGTTTTGGCACTTGGTTTGTGGCGAGTTGATTATAATCACATGCTATTTTAAATTTTTTAAGGGTCCTGCAGGAGGTGATCCACCCCCTTACACGCCCTATACGGCTCAACGTATCAATTCATTCAACAACGTGAAAATGAGGAACCAGTATGTTTTAAAGGTGTTTCTCATTCTGGCCGTTCAGTTAGTATTAACTATTGGATTCATATCTTTTATCATTTTTGAGTAAGTATGAAAGAAATGAAATCACTTACGATCCGCTAATGTATCTTGTAATTTTTTTTTCAGCGATCACAAGAGAGAATTTGTGTTAAAGCATGTTTTTTTATGTTATCTAACTCTGTATGTATTTTTGAAGGATAAACCACAAATAAGATCACTAAATTTTTTTTACTTTTAGGATTATAACCGTTGGAGTTTATTTATTTTTGGTATGCTGCCCTCAAGTCAGAAGATCAACTCCATTGAACTTCGTATTTTTAGGCTTTTTGGTAAAATTATTTTATTATTTCTGAAAGAAAAGTTAAAATTTCGTGGTTCTATGCACTCACGAGATATTCGCTTTATTGATACAATAACAATGCCTCCTCACACAAGTTCATTTTTTACTAAACGTTTTACTTATAATGCTACTGTCATGTACAATGCTTTACCCTCTGATACTAAAGCTTTAAATTTCGAGAATTTCAAAAAGTATTTAAGAAAAATCATTGACATAACTTTATCTCTAACTTCTGCTTATAATATATTTTAGACATGCGGAGCAGCATATACAAGTGCTTATGTATCATGTCTGTTTGACACCTATACCGTCCTGGTGGCCTTGGGATCAACAGCTGGAATATGTTGCCTTGTCACATTATTAGCAATCCAAAAAAAGGTCATTGAAATATAATAATAATAGTTTTCAATAGTTTTGAATATCTACATATTGAAGCAATGAATGATGATAATTGACTGGGATGGAATTGAATCATTTTATGTTTTCAGGTTGATGTGACAAGATGGGAAGTATACTTGGGTATAGCAAGCATCATAATAATTTTTTATGGAATAATCATCGTTGTATTTATATATTACCTGAAACTACATATACTGTTCGTGATATATGCTGGAGTATCCTGCTTATTATTCTCCATGGTAATAATAATTGATAATAAGTCATTAGGTACAATACTGCACGACAATTCCTTCCCATGCCTAATGAAGAGAAAGTACTGCAGTCACGAAAAATTTATAAAATGAGATTATGTTTTTTGGATGTTATATGAAAAAACTATGTCGCTCGTTTCCGCTATCCGTCCGCTAAGCTTTGGCCCGAAAAAGCTTTGCAGTTTTTGAAAATAAGTCGAGTGGCGGCGGAGGAAGAAAAGGCCAAAAACGAAACAAATATCACTCAAACATGGTTTTTTGACGTTTCAGAGGATCCTGATTACTTTTGAAAAACTTTTAAGAACAAAAAATTAGAGGGTGGGAGAGAATATATCTCATTTTTTTATATTGATATATTGATTCGCTTCCAGCCGCAGTAATTCTACGCACCTATTAGACATATTTCACACATAGATTGCCCCGTGCTTTTGCTCTTAGAAATTGGAATAACAGAGCACTCTTTTCGATACACGTCTGCTTTCTCACGGCGGCATGTCGATCTTGATCAGTGCTCTGGTATTACTGCCGCGCTGGCGCGTTTAACCGGGCTAGAGGAATATACGACATTGCCAAATGGACTACCACCGGTAGAGCAAGAAAATAATGTATATGGACTAACTGTATGGACGTGTGAATGAGTTGATCCGGTTAATGTCTCTGTTATACATGTTCCTAGTTAACTCTTTTCTCACAGGGTCTAACTTGATGGTGAACATAATCCTTTATGAACTGATGGCGTTGCGTGAGAAGTGCAGAGCTTGACGCCATTTTTTTTCTTTTTTTGCAGTATCTACTGTACGATATGCAGAAAATTTTGGGTGGAAGAAGAATACAACTACTGCCCAATGAGTACATTCTTGGAGCTATTACATTGTATACTGACATTGTTGTTATTTTTCTTAATTTATTTTGTGTAATAGGACATGGCAGATTTTACTAAATAAGAAATACAGGAAAAATAATAAAGTAGCATAAAAATTTTCGAGAAATTATTACTCTTACAGGGGAATTGAAATTGTTATATTCCATTTTTAAATGATGCTTTGTGAAAACTTATTAAAAAGAAGCATAAAAAGGAACGTCCAAGCTTTGTTTTGGGACAACTTTGTATCACTTGATCACTTACAGAGTGTGGCTCTGCAACTTGCGAATTTCAATGCAACAATTAAAAATTATTTTAAAAGCAACTATCATTGCAAAAGAGGATCTGTTGTTCTTTTATCTGAATATTTTATGAAACAAAGTGATATGTAAACCATAACTTAGTTTGCATTCCTAGAGCCTTCAAACCATGGATGAGAGGTAGCGTGATTCCGCTTTGTTTCATTTTTTGCATTATTCCCTTTCATGTCTAAACAAGCAGATTTTTCCAGAAAGTAGTTTCTAAAAGATCACATGATATACGTATAGTTGAGGAATGTGCGCGGTTCTCTTGTTTCCGCCCCGTTATCTCCTTCTTCCCTGAAACCAGATACCAGATCCACACATATTTTTATACCTGACGATAATTTTGATGGGTTGAGAGAAAGACGAGGCTCTCGTTCCAGGCCCATTAACCACTAGAAGTGTATCATTAAGTTGGAACATCAAACAAGTGTGGGTCTGCCAGCGTTCTTGGAAACATCCGAGGAATCCGGTGATGGCCGGCCTCAACGAACAAGATGCGACGTTGCCATATCCACATGTAGACGTGCATCGAGAAAAAAATAGTTGGTGGTTTGTCATGTCTTGGTATAGGTACTGCACACCTATTCATAATTCATAGAGAACATGACTTTTTCAAATAATACGTCCCCTGCTTTTTGTAACAGAGCATAGATATTGTCAAGCAAGTAAAACAAATTACGTCCAAATCTCAAATATGTACTATGGAGGTAGACTTCCCTCTGTGTCCCCCTGTAGCTCCACCTCCATCTTCAAATTGCAATGCTGCAAATTTATATAACAAAATGTAATACAAATTAAAAATGAAAGTACCTACTTCCATTTAAGGCAACTACTTTGAATCTTGTCTCAGTTAATGTTCAATCCTTTATTCTTGAATTAACAGGCTCTCAGGTTCTGCAAGCCAATAAGGACACGAGATAGTTTTGTCAACTTAATTGACAGATACCCTTAACCCCACACCGCTTTTTGTTTGTCTAAATATAGAATGGCCGAGATAATGGAGTTGCCTAGAATTTCATTGGGGCTCTGAAAGACGTTCGCTCCAAAGACATTTGCCAAGAAATTTACATGATCGGTAAGGTACAAAGAGCTCTACCATTGCGACAATTCTAAATTTAAGTTGCGATGACTTGAGGAATGACATAACTGACGATTTACATAATTACATGTTCGGTAATTTCTAGTATGACATTAGGTGTAATGCGTCGTGCTCTATTACTACTTTGTACATCGAGGTTTATAATTACAGATCGGCTTTTGTTCTTCCACGAAAGCCGACAGGAGCAGATGATGCAGTTTATGGGTCATGGTTGGAAATATTATTACCTCACGGAATTCAAAAACAGATACTTCAAACCACAATTAAACAAAGACGACCAACTGCAGATTCGACTAGCGCCATTATCATTAAATTTTGCATATAGAAACATAGTAGGCCGCGCGGATCGAACGTCAGTACTGAATCTTAGCCTCACTCTTTAGTAAACTTAAATTCAAAGTTTCACAACAATACGAGCAGTGGTCTCACTACAGTGAATTTTTAAGTGTCACTAAGTCACTAGAAAAATGGAACTCAACCGAGAATATTTTCGCGCCATAATTTATTACAACTTCCAGACAATTATCGCAACAAGAATGCCTTGCTGAGTTACTGTCTGTTTTCGGCAACGAAGCGCCATATCAGTCGACAATTTCCCGTTGGTATGGAGAATTCAAACGTGGACGGGTGAGTCTTAGCGACGATTCCAGGGTGGGTGTACCAAAAACGGCAGTCACCCAGGAAAACGTCGATGCTGTGCGCAAACTCATAATTGAAGATAGACATGTGACATATCGCGAGATTGAGGCGACCTTGAAGATCTCAAAGACCTCAATTCAAAAAATATTACATGAAGAATTAGGAGTAAGAAAATTAGTTTCTCGTTGGATACCCCACCTGTTGACTGAAAAGCAGAAAGCAGCCAGGGTTAATTGGTGTCAAAAAAAAAACAAAACGCTTGACCGTTACAATTCCGGAAACTTAAAAAATGTGTACAGCATTGTTAGTGGTGATGAATCGTGGATTTACTATTATGAACCAGAAAATAAACGACAGCCGGCTGTTTGGGTGTTCCAAGGTGAAGAAAAGCCAACAAAAGTCATGGTCGCGACATTTGTGTCAAAAGCGGGTCATATTGCAACAATTCGTCTTAATGAGCAAAGAACTGTTACTGCGGATTGGTATACCACCATTTGTTTGCCAAAAGTCATCACCGAGCTTCGAAAAACCAACCCTGAAAGAAGAATCATCCTCCACCAAGACAATGCAAGCTCGCACACACCCCAAAAAACAAGGCAGTATTTAACGGAAGAAAACGTGGAATTATTGGACCATCTTCCATATAGTCCAGATCTAAGTCATAACGATTTCTTTACTTTCTCGAAAATTAAAAACAGACTGCGTGGTCAAAGGTTCCAGTCACTAGAAGAAGCAGTTGAAGAATTCAAAAATGCCGTTTTGGATCTGCCAGCAAACGAGTGGAATAAGTGCGTAGAAAATTGGTTCGAGCGCATGCAGATGTGGATTAATTTTCGTGGAGAATACTTCGAAAAACAATAAAGTCATTTAAAACTACCTACCGTGTTGTTTCATTTCCATATGCAAAACCTAAAAGACATCCCTCGTATGCAATCTAATAAAGTAACTGAACTCAATCTTTTAATGCAAGTATCTGAAAAACCAATCGAAATCTTTATTATGCCTGGAATAGATCATTCCACGGTCTACGGTTCTCCAGTGTAACTCTCTATCCTGGCTGACAGCTAGTTATACAATGCCTTGCAGAAAGCCCCCTTTCCTACTTACTTTTGATTAAGTTAAGAAGCTAAAATTCGGACACGTAATATTGACACATGAACACTATATTTTTGCGTATTTTTTTAATTGGATTGGAGGTTGTCCTTATGAGCACTTAATAATCCTAGGATATAAAATATTCTACCTTTTGAAATGGCAGACATTCAGGCTGCCACAGTTGAGTGTTTTTCTACATACTTCTTTTGTGAGTATCTATTTGAGTATGTAATATAATATGAGGCATTCAGTTTACAAAATTTGACAGATTTGTCAATTTTTTTAAAACGAACGGTTGTATATGTATATTTGATTAGATTATTCTAAGAGACGAAAATTAATATAACATATTATAGCGCTATTATTAGTGGTTGTTAAGTTATGGGCGACTCAACATACAAAAACGCGCAATTTTTATAGCATTCCTATTCGCCATTTCGAAAAATGTTGATTTTTTATTTTAGGATTATAATCATAATGAGCTTCAAGATAAGGTATTACACGACCCCCGCTTCCATTGAAAAAAATGTGTAAGCAGCTATCTTGAGATGTTCAACCCCTGCTTTTACCCAAAAATATTCATGCAATAACTTTCAGCAATTTCAGCTTGCTAACTTGATTCGTTCAAAAAAAAGTAGGGAGGGGACCTTTTTGAAAAGCACTTTATATCTCTTCTAACAACTGGTCTTTCAGATGATTTGCTTGCATTAAGTACATCTTGTATTCGGTGTCTTCTACCATATTCAACTTGCTCAAGTGTTGACGGAATCTACAATGAACCATGTACAGTCCCACTTGAGCATGGTATTGAATTTTATTTCCTGAGAAGTAGCGTCGCATATTTGACAGAACAGAGGGCTTAACATCCCAAAAATGGAAAAGTTTTAAATAAATTTTCTTGGTGGCTTGAAACCACTTAGATGCTCTCAGCTATCGCGAAGTATATTTAACAGTCTCATTCTAAGCTTGGTAATAAATCATGTAGATATAAAAAGGATGAATGAAACCGAAAAAGGCTCATCAATAACTCCGATAAAAATGTATCGTTTTATCGTACGAATCCGGTTTCATAATGACCACACCTCGTACCCAGCCTGATTCACGTCCATTTAAGCAGTTTGAGACCACAAGAGACTCATGGCGCCAGCTTACATATAAAGACATGGCATTTTACTTCAGTATTATCAGTGCTCTTTCCTGTTTTACTATTTTCGTCTTTTTTCTTATTGACCTACATGGCATCAATGGTCGCCGCAATGCCATGCTATTAGGAAACTGTGGTAACACAAGGACTCAGATTCGAAAGCAATAGTCCGGGATCTCATGCTCAAAAATCTGAAATCGAAAGTACGCGCGACTTTCAGCGTTACACGGCTGAAATGCTGAATCAGGAACTCTCGATTAGCCATCTCGGTACCACGGTTACGAATTCGATTATACCATTGATCAGGGTATTTTAGCTGAAGATAAACAACCATATACTGTATTTCGAAGCCCAAAACGGGATCTGATTTACGCTAGCGCCGCCATCAGTAGCAGAATACAAAAAAGAATGTAGGAATATTCTTTGAAAAAGGTTAAAGTGGTTCGGCTACTCTCTCTCATAGATGGCGCCTTTACTGGTGGCTCTGTAATGCCTATTCTAATTGGATGTCCTCAATCGAATAGGCTAGTCAATCCGCGAAGATACCTAATTGAAATAAGGATTGAGAAAGGGGATTGAATATCCTAGCGCCATCTATAGGGTAGTAGCAGAACCGAACAATTAACTCTTTTTTAAAAGGATTTTTAAATTAATTTTCATGTTCTGCTTCAGCCTCATAGATGGCGCTATGATCTTTCAGATATCATTTTGGACGCCGGAATACCATATGTCGTTGGCTATATTCATGAATAATACGTTGATTAACGGTTATCCATACCAATTTTTGATATTCGAATTGGGTACCAAATCAATGTTTAAAATCT